TCTTACAAAACTCAGTAACTCGCTTCGCGGGAGTGACTAGAAATCGCAAAATACTCGATGCAGAAGGGAAATATCTGGCGAGTATTGAGCACGCCCAAAGTGTGCTGAAACCCGCCCACAGTGGGCGAAGCTTGCAGTAAATCGCAGGCTACCTACACTCATTTAAAAAGTTTCGTAGCTCGGTTCCAGAACACTCCAGAAACCGGAAAAAAGAGGATCAAGGTCAGCGAGAGCTGGGCCGATTGAGGATTGCGGGGCACAAACATAGTGGGCGGGGCCTGCTCCGAGGTGGGGTAGTCAGACGAAAAATCTGTAAAACGCAGAAGTGGATGGTCAGGAGGGATCACTGTTTGATGCGGCACACAGCCGTTGTAGGCGGAGCGTGCGGCTAGGCGGCGGACCAAACGCAGAAATATAGAATGGTTCCATAACAGCCCACACCTATCGAGGTATGTTTGCCAACTGAGAGAAAAATTATAGAAACTGAGAGAAAAGAAATAGATGGAAGAAGTGGTGCTAGCACACCCACAGGATATTATTTCCTATCAGCTAGTCCAACTGTGTGAGAGCTGCCCTTTGGTGCACTCAAAATGTCCGTTGGCGTAAGTGGCTAGGCTGGTTCATAATTTGCGGCAGCGTACGCCGGCGTTACGCTAGCATTTCCAGCGTTCGGCAGCGGCAGTGCAAGGAAAGGATAGATATCGATCTAGCGTATGCCAGCGTCACCAGCGTGCGCTAGCGTAACGCTAGCGTATTCTAGCGTTACGCTGGGCTATTCTATGTGTAGGTATCGATCTAGCGTTTCTGGCGTTTCACTAGCGCTTGCAGCACTTCACCAGCGTTTCACTAGCGTTTGCAGCGGCGGGGAGTAGAGATTATGGGAGAGTAGGAGAGTAGAAAACAGTTCGATTAGGCGTGCTGTGAAATTGCGGCGTGTGTAGCCGCACCGCAGTACTAATACCGTACACTAAATTGGTTAATTGCATAATTATGTGGTTTAGCTGTTGGAACGGAATGTTTTTTTTACATTGTCGCACCGGAATTAGTTGAACTATGAAAATGCTGGCTCCTGCAGGTACCATACCCTCTTTTAGGGCTAATCTATTGGAGATTGTTCTTTTTTTGGGAACTTCTAGTAAATCGTGTGAACGTCTCCGGTCGATTATACGGCTGACAAATACATGCTCATTCTTATGAAAGATCCTAATGGTCCCACGCTTATCGTAATGATGATGGTAATGATCGGTTCATGCTTTGCATTTATGCGTTATGCAATTCAACCATTGCATTATGCAATTTAACCAATTTAGTGTACGGTATTAGTAGTGCGGTGCGGCTACACACGCCGCAATTTCACAGCACGCCTAATCGAACTGTTTTCTACTCTCCTACTCTCCCATAGTCTCTACTCCCCGCCGCTGCAAACGCTAGTGAAACGCTGAAACGCTAGATCGATACCTATACTTTCCTTGCCCTCGCTACGCTAGCGCACGCTGGTGACGCTGGCATACGCTAGATCGATATCTATCCTTTCCTTGCCACTGCCGCTGGCGAACGCTGGAAACGCTACGCTGCCGTACGCTGCCGCAAAGTATGAACGCAGCCTTATATGCCGTAGCTAAAAGAAGTATACAAAGACTACGTGGCTTATTATCTGCAGGCCTGTTCTCACGTTTAGCACGAAGAGTCCCTCTCAAAATCCCCTGCTTACCATTGTTCCTGTTTTGAATGCGTCCAGAGAACACGCTGGGGTTGTTAGCTAGCCTAATGTTAAGCTGCTCGAGCTTATTATAGAAGTGAGGAAGTGAAGTAATCAATTGAAATGGTTTCGTATACCTTTCTAAAGTCGCTGTCAGTTGTACACTTTCGCTGAAGAGCTGTTCTGGCTGAATTGCGCTCATTGTCACATATATTTATTACAAGTATCGCAATAGTAACCAACAAAAGCTGGAATTCAAGCACAACTAGTCCCAGCATTCTTCTCTCCAGTACGTGCTTTGACAGGTGTCCAGTCCTATACACATGTGATGAAGAGGACAAGCATGGTAAAATTAGGCGCGACATTACGGTTGTCTCCTGTGGTACGCAATTACACGGGTAACCGGGGGTATTTTCAAAATACAACTGTTACACCGAAGATAAACTTTTAACCCGTTCCTGTTCCTGCTACACGTTTATAAAAGAGTTCACGAAGGGGACGATTTTAGAGAATAACTGCATGCTCGATATCCCTGAGATCGGGTAGGGGTGGCCGCATGTTTCAACTTAACCTGAAGGTGTCTATGCTTCTGGTGAGATATTTTCATCTTGACACAATTGTTGTCGTGTCTCTGTCCAACACAGAACAAGATGACAGTTGTCCCAGACTGGAATATTCCACGAGCCAATTCCGTGCCATGTTCAAATGCCACGCCTACTCTGGCTCAGGGATAGGATACCTATTTGGACATGTTTTTGGCGCATGGGAGATGAGGACAAAACGCTCCAAGCGAATTGCGATAGGGTCATATCGATCGGAAGTTGGCAAAATGCCAGGTCAGGACACCGCCGCGCCACGCGACCAGGTTGCCGCGCGGTGACCTAGTTTCGAGCGCGGGGTAATTCCTGGCCGTCTCCCCTCGTGAGGGAGATTAGGTTCCTATGCTTGGGAAGCTAAACGCGATTAAACGTTGACCGTACCCTAGATTTTATTGTGCACGAGTAGTGATGATCCCCTCCAAACACGTCAGCTAGACATAAGGAGTTTCAGGTATCCAATGAGATCGAGAGTGCTCCAGGACGCCAAATTAAGGTGTACTTTTTGTAAGGCCCTCTAATTATGCTTGCCCTACAACAGCGAGGGCAGTAAGCAAGAGGTGTTATAAATTTGGAGAAATTTCCTTGTGCATAGAGCCTCTCCTTGATGGAGCCTTTCGCTGCTTCTACAATATTAAAGATTTGGGGACGACTTTCCCGTTGTGGTATGTGGTTAAGGGATTAAACAAACTATGGCTGTTTTTGTAGTAGTTTTGTACATATGTCTATTTCTTCTATTTGGAGTGGATTCGGGCTTGAGCGTACTATACGCTCAACTTTGTTGGGTAGTGACTTCTCCTTCGCCATTGAAGACAAACCCCGCGATTGTATTTTTTGGATAGTGGCGCTCAATAACAAACTTTAGTCGCTAAATAATTATCCAGGGGAGAAGAAAGTGAAAAAAAAACTGAGAGAACACCCTGAGTATGACTCCTTTTCGGACAGGTAGCCTTTCCGGACGAGTTCTCCGGAGTCCTGCTCGTTTAGAGTTGCTCAAGCGCGGGGACTTTTATTTAAGCAATGAGTCTCTTTTCAGCAGATTAAACCCATAAACCTCTCCCATCGACGAACCTCGTATTTTTGGAAATAAATTAGCTACCGTATTCGTTGGCTGTTCATATGCACAACACAATATGACGTACTACGCTATTTTGTATTATACTAGTGCACTGCATGCCAATTTCCCGAGAGTTATAAAAGTGTCCAGTACACTCTTGAACGTTCTTCAGCATCCTTTATGAACCCTTCCTAGGAAAGCAGGAATAAATTACAATTAATCAATTTCTGACTTGTCTGAAATATCCAGCGAGCGGAGAACGGAAGCGTGTACTAATCGTGATTATCTGGCCGAGTTGCACATATGTTTGCGAGCTAGTTTCTTCAAACTGTTTTTTTATTCCATATGGAAATGTCTAATCGGGATAATCTTCTGCTTTTTAGTTATGAGGATATTTCGGGAAAACGATGCATAATCTTGTTGTCCTTCCCTTCTTGTATTTTTTTCGACCTATATTAGTGTCGTAGTCCACACGGAAATCGAGTGGTTTTGGATTGTCGTGGTATATTAAGGTTCATGGCCTCTTCCAGCGACAGTCCACAGTCCATAAGAACAGTTTTGAAAAATCTGAAAAGCATAAAGAGAATAGCGTTCGACATAGGTGAGTTTACCAGTATGTTATTTATAAAACTTGGAAAAAACTATGGATCAGAGTCTCACGCCCTCAACAAACTGATGCTAAACTTTGCAGATGCTTTTGAGCCTTGATCCTAGACTAGTTGGAGGGGGTAACACCGCTCTGGTCATCCGCTTTCTTCTAGGTGGAGCATGCAGAAAGTGTTGGATATCGCTATCCGTGGTCGCCTTGAATCAGTCAGGGCCCCCTCCAAGTACAGTCACGATCCGTGCAAACGATAGGGCGTGTTGCGCGGCGCGAATCGCGATGCACCTAGGGCCCTTTTCCACGGCTAATGCCGTTTGGACTCCAGCAATTTCGGCACCGAGCTCATTTTTAAATTGCCTAAGTCACCAAATCCGCTAAAAACTTGTATATAGGGGTAGTTTAACATCCTGATTACGAATATGACATTCACTCTTGCCGCTGGCGCTAATGGATGACACTACGATTATCTGCGCTAAGGCTGAGCCCAGGAGGTAATCGTAGTGTCATCTCTTGGCGCCAGCGCCAAGAATGAGTGTCATAATTGTAATCACGATGTCAAATAACCCTTGTGTACATGTTTTCAGCGGGTTTGGTGACTTAGGCAATTTAAAAATGAGCTCGGTGCCGAAATTGCTGGAGTCCAAACGGCATTAGTTTTTTTCCACCAGTGATGCCATGGTGGAAAAAGGCTAAGAAGCCTGATACAGCAGATGGGGAGTCTGATTTGGATGCGGCTCCAAGCCGAGCCCAACTCACCCATCCTATAGTTTGCAGGAATCATGAATACTTTACGCAGCGTCATACTTCGCGACTGCAGCGCTTTGTCACGCGATCTATGCGCCTCCTTTCGACTGCATCGATCGCGTCGAAGTCTGAACGCTGTCAGTGCCTGAATTAGTTTGCCTTTCAGTCAATATATTTTATATTATCTTTCAGGTCAGTCGGTTGTGAAGATTGCTTATACGGCTACAGTTGCTCGTAAGAAAACAACTCATGATAAGAAGGTTTGAATGTTGGTGTATTGTTTGTATTTTGGCTTAATTTTGAAAACGACCAGTTTTCTTTTAGTTAATAAATGATGATAAGTTTGCACTGCGACTCTATTGTATTCAAGTGAGACTTGAAGATTTTGAGGACGTGCTTGACTACATCGCAGAAGTAAGCTAATTTTTATGTCTGTTTTTCCAGCACCATGAAACTTTAATACTTTTCAGTTTTTTTTGCATTGTAGGTGGTGGTGTTTGGGCACGGGAAAACCATCAAGAACGCCCTTAACAAACACCCATTTGGCAGTCTGTTGTACGAGTTTTCCGCACATGCTATTTCCATGCCAGCGAATCGATATCCTGCCGCCTCTGTGCACCTGGTGGCTCACACAAGTTTCGCCTCATTCAGCATTTAGTGGCATCCAACAATGGGCAAAGCATTCCAGAAAAACGAAGTTCATAGAGGAAAAGTCTCCGAGTCCGGGGGAGAGGGAACGAAGATCATCCTTTTGACAGAAGCCCTCTCCAAATTGGGTATAGAGCTCCTGTCAACTGGATGTTCTTTCGCTGCGAGACTCGAGGTATTTTCTCACCTCATCATCTGCGTGGGCAGTTTAATACAGGGAATGAAGAAATAGGGAGGACAGAAAGAAGGAAGTAAAGGAGAAAGGATGAAGATAAAAAGAAAGTGGGGGAAGGCTTCGCCGTTGAAATGAGAACCGAAATTGGGAATACGGTAATCCCCGAGCAAGTGCGCAAGCCTAACATTGCAAAACGGATCGCTTTTACATGCTTTTCCACTTTCAAAAAGGGTGTTCGGGGAAATGGGATTTATGCCCAAGTGTTGTGAACAAACGTTAATACAAAATGCGTTAAATCGCCCTACGACGCTGCTGGCAACAAAGGCGCGGTTACTAGTCATGCAAGTCGATGTCATGTAAATACTTATGGATAGCGCAATTACTAATGTTCATAAATCACGCATTTCTGTTGCCGTAGAGAAGCGAAAGCGTTGTTTTCAGAATGGTAATATTGCAACTAATAAAGCCACGTTTGCGAGTACCTCTCCTACTCATGCCGTGGAGATGATGATAGTTGAGAAGCTAGGACTTGAGTTGGTTTTCTCACACATTTCCTGCACGGAACTTATCTTTCACCGACATTACGTTTATAATTTTTCTAGACTTCATAAGGTCAAGGAAATGGACTGTTTGGTTCGCGGGACGAATTTTTTGATACGAAATATTGAAGCAGAATCCTTCACTTATGATCATCATCATGAGCAATGCCGTTATCATTTTGAAACCATTCGGCCTTCTGTTATTTGTCCATACTTGTTGGTTAATGTAGGGACCGGCGTGTCCGTATTCAGGGTGGGTAGGTTGAAGCTCTTTTTTTTGTAAACTGATTTGCTGAGCTGTGCGCTCTGTAGGGCATTTCACCCTGATGGAGGAGAGTCTGGTTCATTACTTTATATTTAGGTGGACAGTGATGACAAGTACGAACGCGTTGGTGGTAGCTCCTTAGGTGGTGGATGTTTCTTCGGCTTGGGCAATCTTCTCACTGCAGAAGTAGGTCTGTTGAGATATAATTATTTATGAGTTCATCGCCAATTAGACTGTGAATCGAACTGAATGGTTCACCTTATAGACTTGGACGAAATGATGCGTATGGCTGAGGATGGTGACCACCGACAGTTCGATATATTGGTGTCTGACATTTATGGAGGAAAGTAAGTTGCTAGTTTTGTTTTTATTTTAGCTACTGCGCACTTTTTATGGAGCATTGTCGGCTGGCTGAAGTAGTCAGTATGTGACAAGACAATCGTAATATGCCGCGCTAGTGGGTTGGCGAGCGACGTGGCGCTCTACGAACGAGTTGTCCTGCTGCCGGAGCATTTGAAATTAATTGATAAATAGACGGTAAGTTCGGTTTCGCATGGGTTGCAGTCTTGTCCCCGCTTAATTTTTCACGAGTTTCGCTGTTCCAACCAACAAACCGATGCACATCGACCATTTGTCGCGATACATCGCGTGCGGCGACGCGACAAATTACAACTGGATGTCCGTCTCCAGACATCAGAAAACATCATGGGGATACTGGGTTACGCGACAACTTGTACTTTTCTGCAGCATTCTTGTTGCAGAAGTCTGTGACGCAGACAGATAGAGAACAGCTGCCGTCAAAACAACGAAGGTTGCGAAAGCGCATGTGACGTGCGAGAGGATGAGTTTTAGGTGCAGGGACTTCGGGATGGGTAAACCATTTATCGTGGGTGACAAGCGGGAATGTGCAACATAACAGTGGCCATAGAGCGCTGTGTATGCGATTGGGTGCAGGGGGGAAGCAATTCGTCATAGTCGAAGGGACTGAATTCCAGTTGTCCCTAGACCGGGGATACGGGAAATATCTCTTTCAGTTTGGACTGTCTCCAAGAGGATGTCCCAATACTGCTCCCGTTCGCAACGTAGTATTTAGTGCAAAATCAACTTCGTCAAAAATCAGAAGTGCAAAATCAACTTCCCGAAACATTTTCCGTCGACTCACTTGCTACCCCTTAAACTGAGGCCAGTTTGGAAATTTCAGTTTTCTTCAGAAGTTCCCATACTCATGCCCGTAAGGCAGCGTCCATACTTCACAACAGCAGTGGCGATCGCCGCGATCGTCGGTACGCATCAGAGCGCGCCCCAACGCTATTACTTGGACCGCTCCGAGTGCTATTAGGAGGAATTGGCTTGATTTCCTGCTTTTTTTCTTTTAATTGCAATTGACTCAGGTACTAGAGTTCGTTTTGACTCAAGGAAAGGTGGATGAAACTTAATGGCTTTTATTTTCTTTTTATTTTCATTTTGATTCAGGATGGAAATGAACAAAAAGCAAGCAGGCTT